TGCAGGACCCATCAACAGATTCACATTTTACACCATGTTTTCAATTCAACCCGGCAAACCTGACATGCTGACTTGACATGTGGGCATACATCTTGGATGCCAGCGTGGCTGAGAGCCACAACACACAGAGAAGTTCAAAACTAACTAAAACAATGTACAGAATCAACGAATATTTAGAAAAACGTGGTGAAAATGGCAGAAAATTCAGAAGCGATGAATGAACGTGAGTAGCTCATTAACATTCATTCATTATTTGTACACAAGACACAACACAATGGGTGATATACAAGTTTTGTCTCACAATCTACTAATATAGATCGTTGGAGTTACCAGACACGACAAGTCTTGTCCTCGGGTGGCTTGTGGGGCTACCATTCATTTATTAATTTATGATTCCGTAGACAATCTATGACAGTGGAAACACATTCAACGCAGTTATAATCATAAAAAAATATATCGAAAAAAAAAAGAATTTCGTTGAGTGAGTTCTTTATTGATGAACTGCTTTACACGTTGTAATCATAATAGTGTTGATAGTTATGATTTGATACAATTGTATAGCTTAATAGAAGTCGTATTAACTTCGTAAAAAAATCATAAACTCATCAGATAATTCAAACCTTCACACACAAAATTAAGAGGTGGCATAATTGAAATCATCACATTTCAGAGGAACATCAAAGATAAGGGCCACTGCTTAAACGGACTCTCATGCTGCTGACAAGTTGATCTGCGGTTCTAAAATTCTAAAATACAGAAGCTCACAAGCAATGTAACTAACTAAATTTGACGTATCATTCATGAACACATACGTGCTGCTTATATATCCTTCTCATTTCAACTCATTAACTACTGCTTGAATGCAATCAAATCTGCCTCTCCTGCCCTGAGAAAGAATTTGTCACCATCCTTGTTACAACACTCATCTCTGAAATACTCCATAAATGCTTTCTTTATTTCTGGTTTACAGAAATTGCGAAAATCGTGAACTTGAGTTAGGCATTCCAGCATGTAACCACCATCTTGCGATTTCTCATCAAAGCACTCTGTCACATCCACCAAATTGTCTCTGCCGACGACTTCTAGTTTGATATCAGGAATTCGACGCTTCAGCATATTTTTCACTGTCTCAGAACCAAGAAAGTGGAATTTGGGGTCGCAGTAGTATTCTCCAATCTTCAGAAAAACCTTTTCCCATCCACCTATAAAAAGAGAATGCATGTAATGGGATGACAGAGAGGATTGCAATTTTTTAGTAAACTATATTTTAATACTACAAGTTGGTGATTAGCTGAAAATTATACTTCCTGCCACGTGGTCAGAATCTTAAGAAAATTATAATGTTCTGATCAACTGAGCGTTGTTATAACTGTAAAATTAAGACAACGAATACAATTGTATAGTAAGTTTATAATGTACATAAACAATGTATTACACAGTGATTTTCTATGAACTGGGTTCATATTATTAATAATATTGCCTAAACAATGAATGCAATGACTGCTATAATGATAATACATCACATATACCTGCAACCATCTTGATGAAAAACATTCCTCCTTTGACCAGATTATCATTGTACAATTGAGCCAAGGTGCCCTCTATATCATTGAAATGATAAGCTGATTGTGAAATGACGATCAAACCGAACGTTTTGTTCTTCTCTTTTTCTAAATATTCTTCAACTGTAGTTGCTTGAAAGTCAAACTTGACATTTTGCCATTTCTTCTCATTATCTTTGGCCATTTTTTCAAACTTTCCAAGTTCATCGGGAAGTGGGTCCACAGCTGTGTATCGTATCTTCGAATACTTTTCTAATAAGGTGTTTATGATGGATTCATCAACTTTACCTTGAATAACACAAATATTGGTATACATTAAAATAGTACCAGGGTGAAATATATGGTTGTCATATAAGGATATATTTTACAATCTTCAAATAAAGAATAAAAAGTAGATAAAGTGTATTTAGGGAGGTGATCAAAATCAAACAAGCGGTTCCCGGCCCGGTATCCGTGGAGCTCCGGAGAGCTGTTATATCCTCCGAGGAGCTCCGGGGAGCTCCGAGCTCGAGGAGCTAATAAGCCGATTTCTCTAATTAGCTTTTAATGAGGTCACCCAAAATGATATTTGTTCGGCTCGTATGCGAGCAGGCTCAACTAGAAAAAGTAACTGACAATCGTATGTGTTTGAAAAATTAACAGAAATTAATTCAAAGTTGAGGGAGCCAAAATTTTTGTCCGGATAGAGATTTCCAATTTGTTTTTAGTGCCAGTGCGTCCAAGTCAACGAAATAGTTTTAATTTATTCACGCAGTTTACCACGATGGTTTGACGAGTAGAAAATGAATCGTTGTGTAGTCATGTTGTTATGAATTATGGCGTTATATGGTCCCATTGTTACTGTGATTATAACTATGAATATTTGTAGAATGCCGACGCTAAGGTATACGTATTTACTTTGGGAACTGTGTACGGCCGATCCAGCGTTTTATCAAAGTTAAGAGGCTACGACGTTAACTACGGCGTTATATAATCGTATTGTTACTATAATTATAGCTGTTAATATTTGTAGAATGCTGACGTATTTGTTTAAACTTTGGAGCCTTTGCACCGCCGATCCAGCGTTGTATAAAAGTTGCGAACCTTTGGAACCCTTGTATCATTGGAACCGTTGTACCGCCGATCCAGCGTTTTATCAAAGTTGAGAGGTTACGATGTTATGAATTACGGCGTTATATAGTCCCATCGTTACTATAATTATAGCTGTTAATATTTGTAGAATGTGGACGTATTTGTTTATACTTTGGAGCCTTTGTACCGCCGATCCAGCGTTTCATCGAAGTTGCGAACCTTTTGAACCCTTGTATCATTGGAACCGTTGTACGCCGATCCAGCGTGTTATCAAAGTTGCGAACCTTTTGAACCCTTGTGCCATTGGAACCGTTGTACTGCCGATCCAGCGTTTTATCAAAGTTGCAAGGTTACGATTTTATGAACTAATTATATAATCCCATTATTACTATAATTATAACTGTGAATATTTACTTTTAAGTAAGTACAGCAATTAATGTTTTTTTTAGAGTTAAACAATAAGTTTTTAATTTGTTACAGTCCGCTCGCTAAAAGGAGGCGCCGCACTAAAACTGTCAGCTTATGAATATTCTTGCATAAATTTTCATATTGCGCGGGAGCTGCCGCTGCCCGCATAAGTGTGATGTCATACTCACCATTTCCACATCCAAGTGTTATCGCATTCATTTCCTCTGATGGATCCAAGTCTAATCTAGCAAACGTCTTCTTAGCGTCATTGGCCCATCGCTCACCATCCACGTTAAATCCATTCTTTTTAACTACGTCATAAGTGACGTGATAGTGGATAGGGTAATAGATCAGCGATTTGATTTCCTCTGGCATTTTCGTCTGCACGTTTTAGGAAGATAAAGACGTAAGAATTAGTTATAGTGGCAACTGAGACAAACCAATGCTGTATTGTGCGGACGTGGCTTAATGGCGGACAATGACGATAAGTGGCAAAGAAGGCAAAGTTAATTGTTAACTGGTTTTAAATCAGGGGGGGGGGGCTTGAGGGTGGCTCCTCAACCCAAAGGTCTCATTTGCATATTTATAAATTATCTGTTTCAGGCCACTTACTTAAGGTCTCATTTGCCTTTTATGAACTACCATGTATAGGGCTAGTTAACTTAAAGATCACTTTTGCATATTTGAGGGGGGTGACCAATCATTCAGCGACTGCCTATGGATTAACGTAGGTGGCGCTTCGCGCCGTTATTTAAGCATGGGTTTTAACACTTTTAATTCAGTGTTCCTGCATTGCCTGCCTTTGCTGCCAATTTTCCTCACCTGCTGCTGCTGCCGGTTTTCCCACCCTT